AGACACGCATCCTCGGGCGTCTGGCACAGGCAGAACCGGCCCCTCGCTCGAACCCACTCCTTCCCAGCGGCACTGCCGTTTCTCGAGGCGCGTGGGGACCGGCGAGCTCGCCGCAGGCACGCAAGCGCCTCCCGCTTTATCCCGGCTGCGAGGACCCCAGGGCAGCCTCCTCGGACGGGGCCGCTGGCTAGCAAGCCCCCAGGCAAGCAGCAACAACTTCAGCAGAGCGACATCATCAGCCCCCCCCGCCACACACGGATTCAGGAAAGACTCCCACCACGTACGGCATCTGCTTCCCTCTCCGCACCAAGCCTGTCTCCAAGGAGCAGGGGGAGACTTCCCCTGCTCTGTGTGCCACACGCGCAGTGGAAACGCAGCAGCAGCAGGGGAATGGGTCAAAGCCCGGGCAGCTGCTGTCCAGCTGCAAGAAATACCGTGAAGAAACAGCCCGGCCGACGCGAATTCCTGTGGCAACGGAGCCGGGAGGCTGAGCAAAAGCCAGCGTTGGATGGGGCGGGGGGTCAGCACAGAAAAGCCTCTGGTACAGACCTGCGCTGCCCCATGGATACCTCCTCCCGCGCTGCTGTAATCCTGCTGTCCAGGTGGATTATTGGAGGCTGGGGGGGACGCAAAGCACAGGGAGGGAGTTATAAAATCTGCCTGGTAACCCTCCCGTAAGTGAATCCCCCCCGGGAATCCCCAGCCGAACCCCAAGGCAGTGCTGGAGGTACACCGTCCCCGAGCGACTGCACGCCGGCAGACCCCAGCGCGGGGGCAGGAGCCGGCCCCCGGGCACCCAGCCACCGGTGCAGCACGAGCTGCAATTTGCTGCCTCAGAAGAAGGTGACATGCTACGAGACGGGATTACATTTCCTTTTAATTGATCAGAGCGTTTTCTCCGCCTCCATTTGTCCCGCACCATCTGTACAATCAGGGAAGCCAGGACAAGTAGGACAGTCTGGGGTTTCTCTACATCGACAGTGGGATTCCTGCAACACACAGAAGCGGAGTCGGTTTTAACGCGGGGTGGGCTCGGCAGAGCGCTGGATTCTGATCCGAGGGCTTGGCCCTGGCTCAGGCTGTTAAACCGCTGCGAGTAAGCAAGAGCCACCGGCTCTCTTAGACCTGACCTCACGGGCCAAAGAGCACAGGGACCAGAGATCAGGGAGATAGCGGGGGAGCCGCTGCCCTGCTGTACCTGCTCTAGGGAGAGGCCGTCGGAGAGGCTTTTGGTGACTCACCTGCCAGGCACAGCACACGCGCTGCTGCAGACTAAGTCTCCCAACTGCCAGCACGTGGGAAGAAGAGGGATGAGGCACAGTCTTAGCAGGGTAGAGGGAAAAGGGGCCACGAGGTAAGCTGCCCGGCCTTGCCTCCCCTGAGACAGAAGCTGTTTGTTTTTAGTGGAAGGGAGTGTACACAGAGGCCACACATCGCTCTCCCTCCGGGGCCCCAGGCATCCAGCCTGCTCCAGAGCTGCCCACTGGCGTGACCTGTCCCAGCAGGGACCTGGAGG